CATGAGGAGTCCTTGTCCTTAACAAGAAAATCCTCATCTTAAGCCCAACTGTTTTTCTAAATAACGAAGTGAATTATCTGTTAAACACAAAAATGACAGCTAGATTGGAAAAATGTTCACATGAAAATCACATCAGATATATTCTGTTTGCCTCCCACTTTGGGACATAGGTTCATTGAGTGGAATAACGAAGCATTACAAATACTATGTAAATTGACTTTTGGTGTTAGTGGGGCTATTTTGGTTTACATTTTTGATCAAGCAGATATAGTTTAATTTGGCTTTGTTAAATAAACCGATGAGAATAATAAGTTCCAATGTTTTTAAAAGTCATTGTTATTCAACATTCTAGTTCATAAATACGACTCCATATACTAAAATATGAATTGGTGGAAGTACATCTTCCCAAATGATGCTCAGATTATTCCAAGTAGGTTTAAAAGTAGGTTTAAAGGGGAAGTTGCTCAGAAAGAAAATGGAAAACATCTCATAATATATTAATAATATAATAGAACTGTATTGTCATAAATGCAATTAAAGAGTGAAATATTTAATAAAACTTGAAGTTGTATAACTCCCATGTATACTAAGAAAAAGTAACTGAAAAAATTCATACCTCCAAATATTTCCAATAATTTCACTTTAATTGGGCCTAAAAGTTGTTAGAGCCAGGAAGAAAAAGAAAAACTTAATTGAATTTCTAAGATATAAAAAGGTACATCTAACAGAAAAAAATAAGTAAATCCTTCAGGTTAATTTTGCCTGTGTTGATATGGAAAGGGAAGGAAAGGAGGGAGCAGTGTTGCTGGGAGAACAAAGGTAACAACAATAGGCTAATTAGTCCTTAAACCCCAGAGGGTGGGATTGCTTCCTCCTGAGAGGCTTTTGGAAACAAAAGGTCTCCCCCATTAACTGGAATCTGGGTGAAGGCTCCCTTCACTAAGGGACACATCAGTGACCCCTGACACCAGTACAGTTGTGAATGCAACTCGGAGGTGGAAACCCAGAAAGTCTCTTCTTCAGGAAGCGACTCCCATCTCTAGGGACCTGTGGCCCCGATGATGCAATAAGCTCTGCACGGAGTTATCCAGACTAATTGATGAAAAGCAGAGGAAGAAATAACATGGAGCTATGAAATCTCCCCAACCTGCAAGATGTTGGCAGGCAATATATATGGAAAAGGAGTATTGTTTTTAATAATGTTGGAATCCCCGAAATAGCCCATAGTCTGGTGATAAATTCTTCCAAAGTAAATTAATCACATAACAAAAACCATCCACAAAAGTACTCTAAGTAGTACTCTTTCAATCCATTTCAATGATTATATCACAACTATGGATTGGCCGTGAAGCACAATGCCTGGCCTGTGTCACTTTTTTTTTAATTAAATAAGTGAAAAGTAAAATGTTAGCTAATAAATATATAATCACTGTTACTAATATCAAAAAAATCAAATTTAATCTCCAAATTAAATATAGAGTATCCCACACACACTTTGAAGAATATAAAGGCAGTGTTTATTAAAATACATTTCATTTTCAACACTGAGCTATCTGCTGTTGAAGTATGTACACATTGTTTGGCCATACCCTGTATCTGTGTGTTTTGTTCACAAGAAAGTCAATAGACTGTCACCGTGCCCTCGCTATGCAAAGGTCAGTGTGATTTTATTCTTTAAGTAACTATATTTGCCCTCATTTGGGTGATTAGAAACCATGGTGTAAACAAAAACATAAGATTTTTTTCACTCAATTCTCTAGCTCCCACCCAGTTTTTTTAACAGTATGGATAGGATTTGACTCTACTTTCCTCTCTAGAGTTCTCTAACATCCTCTCCTGAGAAAGAAGGGAAATACCGAGCCTCTGCTCTACTTCCACCTGAGGTGGGAGAGAACCACCTGCCAGACACAGCGATAGGTCTCCTGGGCCCAGTGAGAGGCACCTCGCTAGCTCTCTGGGAGTCTCAGTGGGAGCACAGCCCCGCCACCGCTGTCCCAGGAAGTGGCAAGGGACCAGAAAGTGGAGAGAAATCATCCGGAGAAGGGAGAGATACTAGATCATTAGCCACAGTCTTCAAGTCCAGACCTGCCCTGGAGCAGCAGGCCCAGGCTACAAGCAGCAGTGTGGGCTGACTGAGTGTCAGGCTGGCATTGCAGGAATCATAGCTAAGAACCTCCCAGAAAGTGTCTTCCTCAGAAAAGGGCCTTGAGGTGCACAGATCCTGCCCACAACATACCTATTGTGTTGAAGATTACTCACCATTGCTTTTCCTTTAGGCAAAAATACTGTCAGAATTTTGTCTTTCAAATAAGTATTTATGTGATTATCTCCTTAGTTTGTTACTTTAGAAATATTTTAATTATAATTTTTAAAATCTATTTTAAAATATCTTCCAGTTAGTAATTATTAATTTATGTCTGTCATTCTTTTTCCAATGCAGTTATTCACACATTCCAAACTACCCCACAATGGAATTTGTTTAGAGTATCAGTTCACTTCTTTGTCATCTCCCATTTCTTTAAAATGCATGATTCCATCATTTGATTTCAGTTTCTTCCCTTTTATAGTAACATTTCTTTCTTTTTAAAGAAATAGCTTGTGCCTGGCAGGTGTGGCTCAGTGGTTGAGCATCAACCTATGAAGCAAGAGGTCATGGTTCCATTCCTGGTCAGGGCACTGCCCAGGTTTCAGGCTGGATCCCCAGTGTGGGGCATGCAGGAGGCAGCCATCCAACGATTATCTCTCATCATTGATGTTTCTATCTCTATCTCCCACTTCCTTCCACTCTGAAATCAATAAAAATATATTTTAAAAAATAAATAGATAGCTTGTCTCATGAGTTACTTGGGAAAGTGTAGAGAATCTTTAATTTCATGAATTTCATTCATTCAAAAGATTTTGGCACACTATTCCAATTCCTGAAAGATAGGGCTATATTTTTATCCAGTAAGTGGTAAAAGTTTAACTGTTTGATATATGACACCATTTTGAAAAATGTAGTCTTTACATGTTGCTCAAAAACATACACGTATCCTTTGAAATCATTTCATTGAGGGTGAAATTAAAGTTTAGCATTTTATTTGCATGTAAATACTGAACCAAATCTATTTCAGGAAAGACCATGCTTACTTTTGTTATTAAGACTGAAGACTCTTGCCATATAAAGTTTTGTTATGAAAAAAATGGTAATATATGTTGCAACATATTTCCACTGAGGATTGAGAGAGGTAATATCCTATATATAATTTCTGACCTTTAAAATTCTAAAGAACAGGACAATGTTACATACTTTATGACAAGGTCATTTACCAGTTTGTTCCTATAAGTGTCTTCCTGGTGGAGGAAACATATTGGAATATTTAGTCGATCCCTTTAGTATGAACATTCTTTCAGTCAAACTCTTAATTTTCTATGGACTATAAATACCGTTAGGTTTCATAAGTTCTCCTCTGGACATTGCTGTGTATTTGCAAATAAGAACTTCAAAATTATGCACTTCCAGAAATCCATTCACTCTTTGCACGAACAATCGAGGCTACTGATTTCTGAGACAGAATCTATCTCAGACAGTGAGACAGTGGGGCCGGAGTTAGGGGTTTTCCACAGCTAATGCCATTCAGCACTGTGGACAGCTCCCATTAAGGCCTGAAGTTGATGGCAATTTCCCTGTGTTCCTAGACCTAAACAGAACTCAAAAGTAATCTGCTTTGTATGCCTATACTTGTTTGCTGTTGAATAGACACCTGCTTAGGCGGCTTAGTGTGCTCGCACTCTCCTCTTGATGATTCTTTTTCGAACGAGTTCAGTTAATTAATTAATTAAGGCCACCCTGATTAGTGATTAGTTTTTCATGTGTGTTTTTCGTGGAAAGCCCAGCTTATGCTGGAGCTAACAGTGGGGCCGGAGTTAGGGGTTTTCCACAGCTAATGCCATTCAGCACTGTGGACAGCTCCCATTAAGGCCTGAAGTTGATGGCAATTTCCTTGTGTTTCTAAACAGAACTCAAAAGTAATCTGCTTTGTATGGTTATACTTGTTTGCTGTTGAATAGACACCTGCTTAGGCGGCTTAGTGTGCTCGCACTCTCCTCTCGATGATTCTTTTTTCGAACGAGTTCAGTTAATTAATTAATTAAGGCCACCCTGATTAGTGATTAGTTTTTCATGTGTGTTTTTCGTGGAAAGCCCAGCTTATGCTGGAGCTAAAATAAAGTGGCTGAGGGTGTGCGCTCGCTAGTAAGAGGATCTACTCCGCGACCTTCATTTGATAATCTCTAACCATGCTCTTAAGCGAATGAATACTTGGGTGACAAATAAGAACAGGAAATGTCTTCATTTTAAGTCTCCGAGGCAGCTACCCTGACAGCTGACAGCTCCCTGCCCTAGTTCGCCAAGAACCCCGCGCCCAGCCTGCCGGCCACTGTCCGCAGAAATGCATTAGGATGCCCAGCGCCTGTACATGGGACACAGATGGACACTCCCGGGCCGAGAGCGGCCCGAGGAGCGGGGACCTGTGGGTGACTGTCCCCCACTGGCCGCCCCAACCTCTGCTCAGCCCAGGAGCGCCTCTTTCCTTTTGGTGAGGGACGCACTTCTCGGGGGAAACGGCACGGAACCCCCCAAACCACTTTCAGGCCGCTTCCTTGCATTGCCATCTCCTAAGGAAAAGTTTCCTGGCACAACTTTGCATCCTCCCATCGGGTACCCTGTGGCCTTTTTTCCCGATGGGTCCGCAAAGTTGGCGAGGCAAAGGGGAGCTGGTTCCCGGGCTTCAGGAACTCCGTGCTGGGTGGAAACTAGTTGAAGAACCGGCTCAGTCCCAGTGGGGGCACCCACAGCGCCACCCTCGCCCTCCCGGCGCCTCGGCTTCCCTTCCCTTCCCAGCCCCGCGCCCCT